GGTTATATAGAAGTTATATAGAGTTATATAGAGTTATATAGACGTTATATAGAGTTATATAGAGTTATATAGAGTTATATAGAGTTATATAGAGTTATATAGAGTTATATAGAGTTATATAGAGTTATATAGAGTTATATAGAGTTATATAGAGTTATATAGAGTTATATAGAGTTATATAGAGTTATATAGAGTTATATAGAGTTATATAGAGTTATATAGAGTTATATAGAGTTATATAGAGTTATATAGAGTTATATAGAGTTATATAGAGTTATATAGAGTTATATAGAGTTATATAGAGTTATATAGAGTTATATAGAGTTATATAGAGTTATATAGAGTTATATAGAGTTATATAGAGTTATATAGAGTTATATAGAGTTATATAGAGTTATATAGAGTTATATAGAGTTATATAGAGTTATATAGAGTTATATAGAGTTATATAGAGTTATATAGAGCATTAATCCTATATAGATACCGTTCTTTGCGGTTCTTTTCTTTGCCGACCGGTCGGCTTCTTTGCGTTTCTCTATTTTCATTTAAATTAATTAAATAAATAAGATTTGTCCATTCATCTAGGTTCATTCAGGTTCATTCATTCAGGTTATAGCTTCCAGAGGAGTTCGTCGTGGAGGATCAGAATGGTTGTGATGTCACCCTACGTTCAACCTTAACCCCAACTTCCGACTTTACGGTTTTTGAACGGTTTCTTTTTTTGCCAGTTTGCTGGCTTTTCCGGCTGGTGGATTTCACCTCGGCTCGTTTCTCTATTTTCATTTAAATTAATTAATTAAATAGGATTTTTTCATTTCATTCAGGTTGAAGCTTCCAGAGGAGTTCATCATGGAAGATGTCAGGCTACGTTCGTTCATTCAGTGGCAAAGAATACCTGCCTGACTGGGATACGTTTTCTTCTTTTTTTCTGTAATTTAATATTAAGTAGGAATGCTCACACGCACACACACGCATACACAATTACATTAAGTAGCTATATAGGTAGGTTAGATAGGCCTAATTTTAGTTGTAGGTAGGATAGATAGGGAGCATCCAACACTAATGTAGTTGAATAGGTAGGCAGCGTAAGTTTATCTCTTCTATTTTATCTTTCACCCACATTACACGCACCAGCGTATTACACACACACACAGAAATACATACATAAACACATATGTTAGTATTTGAGCGTAATTTTATTTTCATTACACATTCTAATTTATTATTACTAAGGTTGAGAGTAATTTAATTTCATAGGTAGTTAAGAGCAATAATGTAATTCTAGGAAAAATCTTGTAATGTAAATTAAAACGCTGTAAGTGTATCGATAGGTAGGTTAATTGTTAAGTTTTACATTCTCATTATTAAGTTGGAGCCCAAGGCATTACGTAGGTGGTGGGGTGGGTGCCGAAAGGCCAATGAATTGGGCTCTTGAGTTTTGTAATTTTAGGTAAGCTAGGACCGTAATGTAATGAATAGGTAGGTTAAGGCTACGTTGTAACACATACTCATTAATAGATTTAGGGTTTAAGTTTTATATTATTATTACTAAGTTGGAGCCCAAGGCATTACGTAGGTGGTGGGGTGGGTGCCGAAAGGCCAATGAATTGNGCTCTTGAGTTTTGTAATTTTAGG